CCCACCTGCCCACCCAGCCATGGCATCCAGGCAGCTGTGCAACTTGGCCCGTCCTTTCAGAAGAGTGGGGATGGCAGTGCTCATTCGGGGAGGGGGGGGGTCAGACCGTTCTCCCTTCTCTTTACTACAACACTAAGAGGGCCCACCTTCCAGGGTCAAAGGGAAGTTATCTAGAGCTGGGGCTTCCCTTTGCCAACTCCAGGAAGGAGGTGGGAAAATTTCTGGGAATTCTTTAGCTGTTTATAAAGGAAAAAAACCTTAGCATGAAGCATTCCTTATGGGAAAAAATGCGGATACTGGATGTAAAGAAAACAAGGCTCTTGTTTGGCAATGTGCTTGGCTGAAAGTAAGCAAACCTAGGACGCCTTTGTCTCCCGTAACAAGATGCTAGGGAATGAGCTAAGGTTGGTGCCAGAGTTTTGCAATACCACCCAAGTATGGTCGACTTGTCTTGTCTACATCCCTATCAGGTTAGTCTGTCCTCATGTTTGTAGCCTCATGGTCGCAAGTTGGCTGCTACAGCTCCAAGCATTATAATCGCATTCCAGGCAGGAAGTAGAGGGAAAAGAAGCAAAAAGGTAAGACATCTTGGCCAGGGGAGCAAAGCTGTCCCAGAAGACCCCAACATAAGTCTGATGGTCACGAGTGTATGCCAGGGACAGCAGGAACTCTCAGTGGGTTAGGCGCTGCCCCTCTCAAAACAGGCTTCTTGGGGGAGGAAAGAAGAATGGGTACTAGGAAAGCAGTCGAATTCTTACAAAATCAAGAGGTGTTTGATCAAACTCTGACATTTTCAGTTATATGAAGCACTAAGTTATTTTTATACTGTAAGACAATTTGAATTTGAGTCAAGCCATTGCTGTTGATGTCGTCTTGTGGGTACCATCTCTTTCCTAGTAGATCTCTCCCTTGAATGGAGGGATAACCGCGATTCGGGAGCACTCTTTAAATCCACGGGTAAAGGGAGGGCAGGTGGTTGACCTAGCAGTTCAGATGCTGTAGCTTGGGATGCCACACCCCATATCAAAGAACTTGGATCCACATGCTGGCCCTGCTGCAGGTTCCAGCTTCCAACTGATGAGAACCCTGCAGGCAGCGGGTGATGGCTCAGGTATGTCGAGCCACTTATATGGGAGACCTGGACTGCATTCCTGGTTCCTTGCTCTGGCCCTGGTCCAGCCCCAGCCATTGCAGGTATTTAAGAAGTAAACCTAGCCGGCGCCGCGGCTCAATAGGCTAATCCTCCGCCTAGCGACGCCGGCACCCCAGGTTCTAGTCCCAGTCGGGGCACCGGATTCTGTCCTGGTTGCCCCTCTTCCAGCCAAGCTCTCTGTTGTGGCCAGGGAGTGCAGTGGAGGATGGCCCAAGTGCTTGGGCCCTGCACCCCATGGGAGACCAGGAGGAAGCACCTGGCTCCTGGCTTCGATCAGCACGGTGCGCTCCAGCCACGGCGGCCATTGGAGGGTGAACCAACGGCAAAAGGAAGACCTTTCTCTCTGTCTCTCTCTCTCTCTCTCACTGTCCACTCTGCCTGTAAAAAAAAAAAAAAAGAAGAAGAAGAAGAAGTAAACCTATTAGCCTATTGAGCCGCGATTCTGGTCTGTCTCTCTACCTTTCAAAATAATACATCTAAAAATCTCCCAACTTCTTAGAAGTCTTCCTCACTTCCCCCCCAATCTCCCAACTTCTTAGAAGTCTTCCTCAGTTACCCCCTCTGTCAGCAATGCTCCCCAGGGGCGATCACTATTCTGAGTTGCATCACTGCTTATCGTGGTTTTGCTTGGTCTCAAATGCCATACAGACGGGATCCCACCACGTCCACTTCTTCCACAGTTGGCTTCTGTCACTCCATATCATGTCTAGGAAGTTCATCCATGTTGTTGTGTTCAGTTCATTCTTTCTTCATTGCTGTGTAGTTTCCATTTTTATGAATAGACCTTTATTTATCTGTTTTCCTGTTGATGGATGTCTGGATGGTTTCCAGTTTATAGCTGTTAGGAATAAAGTTGCTCCCCACCAGAATTCCAGTCCCTTGCAGCTCCCAGCCTCCCTCCCTTTATGACCAGAGGCCTAGAGGGTGGGAAGGGCTCACCGCAGAAAGGAGGGAATCCAAGAACAGAAAAAGCAGCAGCTGAGGACCCAAGTATTTGGGAGACTTGGGTGGAGTTCTGGGTACACCTCAGCTATTGCAGACATTTGGGGAGTGAAACGGTGGATGGAAGGTCTCTCTCTCTCTCCCTCTGTCATTCTGCCTTTCAAATAAATAAATAAATAATCTTTTAAAAAAATCAAAACCAGTGTATTTCTCCGAGAGCCCCTGCAGCTCTCTCTGCTTTCTCCACTGACCCTGGGTCCACCTGGCACCTGGCAAGGCAGCCGGGCCCTCCCTCTCTCACACCCTCCTTAGTCTTGCCATTTCTTCCTTCACACGATCAGCTGCTCAGCCATCCACTCATTCATTCAACAGCACCTTCTCCCTGCATCCTCTTCCGGGTAAGCTCTGGATGGTTCCCCAGAGCTCAGCATAACCGGACAGTTGAGAGGCAAGCGAAGAGTCGGCCTTGGTGCCCACCTGTCTACTGGCCTGACATGAGGTGCAGGTGGATGCCCCCCCACCCTTGCAATGCTGCCTGCAGGGAAGCTCGGCTCCAGGCTCTGCTGGTCCCAGCTCCTCCAGGCAGGCCTGGTCCCTGCCTAGGCTCATCCTTACCACGGCCATCCTGCTATGCAGGGTGTGTGGCACCACAGAGGACACAGAGGCAGGCTGCCCCGTGACCTTGAAACACAGCCACGTGCCTTTCTCTGCACACTGACAGCAGGGGCATTCCCAGATGGCCCTCATTGTTTTATTTATTTATTTATTTATTTATTTATTTGAAAGTCTGAGTTGTACAGAAAGAGGAGAGGCAGAGAGAGAGAGAGAGAGAGAGAGAGAGAGAGGTCTTCCATCTGATGGTTCACTCCCCAATTAGCCGCAATGGCCGGAGCTGCGCCAATCCGAAGCCAGGAGCCAGGAGCTTCTTTTGGGTCTCCCACACGGGTGCAGGGGCCCAAGGACTTGGGCCATCCTCTACTACTTTCCCAGGCCATAGCAGAGAGCTGGATCAGAAGAGGAGCAGCCGGGACTAGAACCGGTGCCCATATGGGATGCCGGCACTTCAGGCCAGGGCGTTAACCCACTCCACCACAGCGCCGGCCCCCTGTTTTTTTTTTATTTTCTGACAGGCAGCGTGGACAGTGAGAGAGAGAGAGAGAGACAGAGAGAAAGGTCTTCCTTTTGCCGTTGGTTCACCCTCCAATGGCCGCTGCAGCTGGAGCGCACCGCACTGATCTGAAGGCAGGAGCCAGGTGCTTCTCCTGGTCTCCCATGGGGTGCAGGGCCCAAGCACTTGGGCCATCCTCCACTGCACTCCCTGGCCTGGAAGAGGGGCAACCGGGACAGAATCCGGCGCCCCGACCGGGACTAGAACCCGGTGTGCCGGCGCCGCTAGGCGGAGGATTAGCCTATTGAGCCGCGGCGCCGGCCCTCCCCTGTTTTGTAATAGTTTAGTTTATGATTTGGCTCTACCAAGTGGTGAGAAAAGCCATTCCCCTCTTGGCGGACCCCATCCTGACGACACTGCCACAAACAGCCTAATGTGCTTCTTTTCCCTTCACATTAATTTTTGCCACAGAAAAATTCTTAGGAGAGAGGGTCCTGAATCAAAACAGAACTATTATCAAGAGAGCTGTTATATGGTAAGTACTTACCACGTGCCAAGCTGGGACTACCCCTGAGGGCTGGGGAAGACAGGAGCATGAGTGGGTTTTGTGCAGAGGTACGACGTGGTCCATCGAGGCAGATGCTTCTGGCTGTGGGAGGGGGAAGAGATGGGCGGAGAGCAGAATGGAGAGACAGCAGGATTCACTTCCACCCCCAGACCTGATTCCTATGAGGTGGGAGAGTGGGGATGCGCTACGCCTGTGCTGACTGCAGGGATGAGCGAAGGACACACCCGTCTGAGAACGGGCAGAGGAGGAGGTAACCAGGCTGACTCAGCAGGGACCCTGGAGAAGGAGGGGAGGGTGGGCTTGTGAGGCTGCGCCAGGGGAGGCGGAGGAGGAGGTTGGAACGTCCCGAGGGGGCCTGAGTCCTCAGCTCTTCTCTGAACCTCTCCAATGTTTTGGGTTGAACTGTGTCCCCCTGAAATTCGCAATCTGAAGCCCTAATCCCCAGTACCTGTAAACATGCCTGTGTGCGGAAGTCGGACCGTGAAAGATGTGATTACATTAAAATGAGGTCCTAAGTCAGGGTGGGCTCTAATCCTATATGACTGGTGTCTTTACAAGAAGGGGACATTTGGACACACAGACACCGTGGATCATGCACACCAGGGAGAGGCCACATGAAGGCCCAATCAAGAGGTCTTGGCTTGCAAGTCCTGGAGGAAACCAAGCCTACTGACACCTCGGTTTTGGACTTTCAGCCTCCAGAGCCATTAGAAAATTAATTCCTGGTAGCATTTTATGGCTTGCTCAAGTCCCAGCTCCACTTCAGATCCAGTTTCCTGTTAATGTGCACCCTGAGAGGCAGCAGATGAGGACTCGAGTGCTTGGGTCCCTGCCACCCACGTGGGAGACCCAGATGGAGTTCTGGGCTCCTGCTTTTTGCCTGGCCCAGCCCTGGCTATTGAGGCATTTAGGAAGTGAACCAATAGATAGATCTTTCTGTCTGTTTCTCTCTCTTCCTTTCAAACAAAAAAAAAATTTTTTTTTTTTTCAAAAAAGAGGGGCCAGTGTTGTTGTACAGTGGGTTAGGCTGCTGCTTATGATGTGAACATCCCGTATCAGAGCAGCAGGGGGAGTCCTAGCTACTCTGCTTCTGATCCAGCTCCCTGCTAATGTGCCTGGGGAAGTAGCAGACGATGGCCAAGTGCTTGGGACCCTTCCATCCTCATATGAGACCAGGATGGAGTTCCTGGCTCTTGGCTTCAGCCTGACCCAAACATGGCTGTTGTAAGCATTTGGGGAGTGAACCAGCAAATGAAAGATCTCTTTCTGTGCCTGTCTGTCCCTCTCTCTATAAGTCTGCCTTTCAAACAAATACATCTTTAAAAAGAAACAACAGCAACCAAGGACCTTCCCCATGGTCAGCTGTCAGCTGGGTGTAGAACCTACCCACTTGGAGTCTGAGTGGGAAGTCTCTGTCCCAGCATGCACTGCAGCCTTCTTCCCCATCTCTCATGGATGTGTTCTGCCGTGGCTCCCACACTGGTCCGGAATGGAACAGTCACAGTCTGATTCTCAGCCTGTGTGCCAGCAACCCTGGAGGCTTCACACGTGCACCCCTGACTTGTACAGGGTCTCCCTGTCTGTGCCCAGAGTTCTCGCAGCCTCCATTCTTTGGTCATGGAAGGTGGGAGAGCTGCTGGGTCTTGAGCAGAAAAGAGAAATTCTAGGCTGAGAGTCACGTTCATGTCGTTCAGAAAACTCCTGTTGTGAGAACAACTTTGTTGCTGGAGCTTTGGCTGGACTGTTGAAATCCCATGGGGAGTAGGTTGCTTCTTCCTATGGGGATGGATCAGACAGGGGAGAGAGCCTGGGGCCTGAGTTGGTGCATTTATGGTGCTATCATGCAATACCCAAGGCTGGATAACTTACAAAGGAAGGAGGTTGTAGCGCAGCGGGTTAAAGCCTTGGCCTGAAGCGCCAGCACCTCATATGGGTGCCTATTCTAGTCCAGGCTGCTCCTCTTCAGATCCAGCTCTCTGGTATGGCCTGGAATAACAGTGGAGGGTGGCTCAAGTCCTTGGGTCCCTGCACCCATGTGGGAGACCAGGAAGAAGCTCCTGGATCCTGGTTTCGGATCAGTATAGCTCTGGCTGTTGCAGCCATCTGGAGAGTGAACCAGCAAATGGAAGAGCTCTCTCTGTCTCTACCTCTCTCTCTAACCTTGTCTTTCAAATAAGTAAAATAAATCTTAAAAAAAAAAAAAAAGAAGCAAAAAACAGGGCCAGCGCCATGGCTCACTTGGTTGGTCCTCCGCCTGCAGCACCTGTATCCCATATGGGCGCCGGGTTCTAGTCCCGGTTGCTCCTCTTCCAGTCCAGCTCTCTGCTGTGGCCCGGGAAGGCAGTGGAGGATGGCCCAAGTGCTTGGGCCCCTACACTCGCATGGGAGACCAGGAGGAAGCACCTGGCTCCTGGCTTTGGATCGGCGTAGCTCCGGCCGTGGCGGCCATTTGGGGGGTGAACCAACGGAAGGAAGCTTTCTCTCTGTCTCTCTCAGTGTCTAACTCTATCTGTCAAATAAAATTAAAAAAATAAAATAAAACAAAGGAAGGAGGCTGATGTTGGCTCATGGTTCTGCTCCAAGGTTAAGGGCCCAAATCTGGTGAGTCTTCCTGCCAGCAGAGGTCCACGGCAGGGGAGGACATCACAGCAGGGGACAGGGAGTATGTGTGTCTCTTCTGATCTCTCTCCTTCTTACAAAGCCAGCAGATTCAGTCATGAGGGCCCACCCTGATGACGTCAGCTAACCCTAATCACCCCCCCCACACACACACAGTGGGATTTAGCCTTCCCCTCTTAATCCTTCACAATAGGGATTAAACTTGGGTTTAATGGATCCTTGGGGGAGACACTGAAACCACAGCTAAACCATGGCAGTGCCCTCCAGTGCTGTGCTGGACAAGGGGCTGGGGGAGAGCTGGATTGTGAGATTTCTATAAAGCATTGAGTCCTGTGAATGGGACAGTCTGAGAGAGCTGATGACGCAGACTCCAGCCTGAGCCTGAGGGTCGCAAGAGACCCAGTTCCTAGGCCCTGCCTACAGGGACAGCCGGCTCAACTTTCCTCTAGCTTGCTGTTCCATGCAAGCCCTTAATGGGTTGGCTGATGCCCACTCACATTGAGGAGTGTCCTCAGCTTAATTTAATTGCCAACCTCCTGCAGAAACACCCTCACAGACAGACCCAGAAATAACACTGAAGCTGTCTTAGGCGTCTCATGCCCGGTCAAGTCGACACACGAATGAACCACAGACCTCCCTGGCTGAGGGCTTGAGACACTTGCTGGGCTGACCCTGCACTGCCAGCCTGCTCTCCTCTGCAAATGACTGAGAGGACCACGCCAGATGATCCACGGGAACCCCGTGCTGCAGGGAGGGTGGGGATCTGGGTTTCAGATTCTGGCTGGATAAGGACAGGCAGTGTGTGTCCATGCTTCTTCTGTCCCCCACAGGACAAAGTGGGAACAGCACCACTGGGGCTGAGGAAACCCCAGGGGAGGAAAGGGAAGGTAGCTCTGTACCCCCCAGGCCTCCCAAGTCTTCCACCCAGAAAATGCCACACATTTCCCACGGCCCTCTTGCCACCAAGCCTTGTCCTGGGAACATGGAGAGGTTCTGGACTCAGAAAATCACCCACACTGTGCTGGAAGAAGGAGGCGTCCGTGGAGTCTTTTCACAGACGCTAGATGTGGGCACACAAAAGTGGCTGGAGTGGGAATGAAGCCCACGTACCCATCACCAGCTTCAACATTTACCAAATTACAAGCAATCTTGTTTCATTCGTTCGACCTATCACCTCGATTATTTTGAAACAAATCCCTCACTTCATACCTTTCTTTTATCACGGTAACCAAAAAGTGAAGGGTATTTTTTTTAAAGAATGACCAAAATCAATTTTTTATTCTTGTAGCTATATAAATAAAAGAAGGGTGCGTTTTAAAGCAGCATGACCACAGTGCCAACATCACGAATGAAAAAATAAAGTTATTCCTTAATATCATCAAACATCCAATGTCCAATGTTTATACTTCCCTGGTCATCCCATAGGGTTTTAAAAATTACTTATTTAATGAGAGAGGTAGAGGAAGAGAGTGAGAAAGGGAGACAGAAACAGAGAGCTCCACCTGCTGTTCGTCCACCAGATGCCCACAAGGGGAGCCAGGAGCTGGGAACTCAGTCCAGGTCTCCCACGGGGGTGGCAGGAACCCAACTACTGAGCTGTGACTGCTGCGTCCCAGGGTGTGCATTCGCAGGAAGCTAGAGTCAGGAGCCGGAGCCGGGTGAGAATCCAGGTGCTCTGATGTGGGAAGTGGGCATTTTTTTTTTTTAAGATTTTATTTATTTGAGAGGTAGAGTTACAGACAGGGAGGAGAGGCAGAGAGAGGTCTTCCTTCCGTTGGGTCACTCCCCAAATGGCCACAATGGCCAGAGCTGCGCCAATCCAAATCCAGGAGCCAGGTGCTTCTTCCTGGTCTCACATGCGAGTGCAGGGCCCAAGCACCTGGGCCATCCTCCACTGCCCTCCCGGGCCACAGCAGAGAGCTGGGCTGGAAGAGGAGTAGTTGGGACTAGAACTGGCACCCATATGGGATGCTGGCACCGCAGGCGGAGGATTAACCTATGGTGCCACAAGGCTGGCCCCAGGAAGTGGGCATCTTAACCGATGTCTTAACTACGAAGCTAAATGCTTGCCACTCACTTTTTTTTTTGAAGATTTATTTATATTTTAGAGGTAGAGTTACAGTGAGAGGGAGAGACAGAGAGAAAAGTCTTCCATCCACTGGTTCACTCTCGAAGTGGCCGAAACTGCTGGATCTGCACCAATCCGAAGCCAGGAGCCAGGAGCTACTTCCTGGTCTCCCATGTGGGTGCAGGGGCCCAAGCACCCGGGCCATCTTCTACTACTTTCCCAGGCCATAGCAGAAAGCTGGATGGGGAGAGGAGAAGCTGGAACTAGAACCCGGCGCCCATATGGGATGCCAGTGCCACAGGCGAAAGCTTAAACTACTGCGCCACAGTACAAGGCCCCACTGAGTTTTGATTATTGGTTTTCCTGACCATCTCCCCCACTGGATGTGACCAGGGATAGGGCTATGAGGACCTTTGCCCTTGTCCACCACAGTTGGAGGAGCTGATACACTCATAGGCACACACCCAGGCAAAGACAGTCACTGCTCTGTGGGTGAGCAGACAGCGAGCGCCTGGGTAGGAGACCCCACCCAGAACGTGGAGAGCTGCCGGATGAATGTGGATGAGGCTGGAACAGGTACCCAGAGCCCCCACCTCAACTCACCTGTGGCATCTTCAAATCTACACACAGTCCTGCTCACCACCACCACCCCTTCAGCCAGAATCTCCAGGGTCACGGCCAGGGTGGAAGGACTGGAGGAAGTGTCCTTCCCAGGTGGCCCAGCCAAGATGGGGACACACTGGGTTCCTGAGACCTTCATCCTGCACCACTCTGGGAGCAGAAGGCTGATGCCAGCTGACAGAGAGGCCTTGACCCCAGTTCTGCTTTGTGACAGAGTCACCTAGACAGCCCATGCACCATTCCCAGGGGAGGAAAGAGGACCGGCCCTTCGCCGGATTGTTCCGAGGGCTCCATTCAGAGGTCCTGAGGACTAGCCTCTCGGAGGGACTTCTGCTTCTCTCGCCCCCATCATGGACACCAGTCAACGGCCCTCTGAGCTCCTAGGACCGTTACCTTGAGATGACCACATGACAACCCAGTGCACCTGCATTCTGGGAAGAAGCCTGCCTTGGACACACCCTCCAGGAGCACCTGCTCCCATGCAATCTACACACCACACCGATTGCTGCCGCTGCTGCGAGGCCAGAGACTGCCAGATGGTAGCAACTGGTGCCACCGCGGCTGAGGGATTTTCTCAGGCATCCTCATGGCCGGAGGGGCCTGTGGGAACCTGGACCACAGTCCCCCGCAGCCCCTTCCTCCTCCTCCTGCTGCCCGGGACCAGCCAATTTGTGCAGTGGGGCCTCCAAGCCGACCCACTTGGGCATGGGTGTGGCTGACAGACAGCCCCCCAGAGGGGGAGGGGAGGCAGGGGCACGTGGAGTCCTGTGTGTCCTCCCGTGGCCTCGCACTGATGAGAGCAGGCGTGGGCAGAGGCCGGACACACGGGGTGGATGGGAGCAGCCATTAGCACTAATGAGGCAGGCGGCCTGAAAGCTTTGTACCCTGGAGCTGCTTGCCCACCCAGGGAACAGTCCGTTCTGCTGCTTTGGTTTCCAGGAACCTTAGGCGGAAAGAGTCTGGGGACAGGAGTAGAGGTGGGGGGTCTTGGGAGAAGCCCGCAGAGAGAAGGGGGAGGGTAGACAGGGTCAGGGACACAGTCAGGACAGCCTGGAGTTGGCTACATGGCTTCTTTCCTCCCCTCTTTCATCCAGAGAAACCTGGGGTCTGGTCCATAGCCCACTCCTGCCCTGCAGCGGTTGCATCCCATCACCCCCGTCCACACCCTCGACCTCAGTTCCTGGAAGCAAAGGAAACACACCGTGTAGGGGCTAAGTGAGCAGCTCCAGGGCCACAAATTAAATTAGGCTCTCAGGGCTGCTTGCTTCGTTATTGCTAATGGCTCCAGCCTGGTCCACCCCTAGATCACCATCCCGTGGACATTTAGGGGCCCTGGGCACCCTATCTTGTTCTCACACTTTAATTGGCTCACCCCATATTGGAGATGGGTACCCCTCTTGTAGAGCCCCAAGGCTCAGGTTGCAAGGAGGAAGGCCCGAACAGTACTCCCCCGCCGCGGGGAGGGCCTTTCTCTGCAGGGAGCTGTCACGTGGGGGTGCCTCATGAGATCCTGCCATATAAACCGAGGCCCCGGGGTGGCTGGGAATGCTGTCGGCAAGGATCCAGCAAGCAGGGGTAAGTCCTTGGGGTGGGTGGGGACTTCTGCTCCCCCGAGGCCTTTTGCTGGGCCCCTGGAGGGAACTTCACGGGGGAGGAGGACTAAGTGGTGGGTCTTCCTGCCGCACCAGGCCATGTTGACCACAGTGCTGCTGAGCTGTGCCCTGCTGCTGGCACTGCCCTCTGTGCAGGGGGCCCAGGTGGGCCTGCCCCCACTGGAGGGCATCAGAAGGCCTGACCAGGCCCTGTTCTCCCAGCTCCCAGGTCAGTATGCACAGGTGTGGGGTTGGTGGGGGCCCGGATACTCTCTGGCCACAGATTGGCCACCTGGTGTTAGCCCCTCTCTCCCCCTTCCCAATGCCAGCCCTGGGAGGCGGGTAATTTGTGCATGAGGGAGTCCTGCCCTCACCTCCTCTGCCCCAGGCCAGGGCCTTCAGGCCCCGCAGAAGGTGACGAACGCAGAACCGGCAGAAGAGGCTCTGTTGCAGGAGGCCGAGGCCCTGACAGAGGTAACAGCTCAGCGAAAGGGGAAACGTGGCCAGTCTCTGCAGGGGGCATCAGGGGCCATCCCTCCTCCCCAGCCTCCTGGTCCCCTCGCCACCACCACTTCCCAGGCTCGGTGCGCATCCTGCCTGGCTGCGGTGGCGGAGGTCCCTGGACTTGCTCTTGGAGGCCGGTGCTCACTTTCCTGCTTCCCTACCTGTTCAGGTGCTAGACCCGCAAGACCGCGAGCCTCGCTCCCCGCGCCGCTGCGTAAGGCTGCACGAGTCCTGTCTGGGCCAGCAGGTTCCGTGCTGCGACCCGTGTGCCACGTGCTACTGCCGCTTCTTCAACGCCTTCTGCTACTGCCGCAAACTGGGCTCTACCGCGAACCCCTGCAGCCGCACCTAGCTGGCCGGCGACGATGTGGGGCTGGGCCGGGGGCAGGGAACGCCAATAAAGAATGGGACCAATCCCAACGTTGTGGTTATTTCGAAAGTGGCTGTCGAAATGGGGCTGGGGAGGATGTTCATGGCAGCGGTGGGGGTGTCGCCAACCCAGGAAACCACACACCCCCTTATCCTGGGGTCTGGGCTACTCCATCTGAGCCACATACACGCGCATTTTTGAGGTCCCAGGCGCCTCGGGGGAGAGCAGAGGAGAGCCGGACTCTAGCCCGCGACAATGGTGCAACAAATGCAGGGGCGGCCAGGAGCAGAGTTGCGTGCGGAGTTAACACCGGGCTCCGGGGACTGCCCGCGCCTAATTCGACACGCGACCTCCAGCAAAGCCCACCTCTCACCACGCCGCAGTTCCCCTCTGTGCGGAGGCTTATTTAGCAATGTGAAATATTTCCAAGCACAAACACCGCCCACCCGCATCCTTTCTCTGCTCGTCACCGTAGTGTCTGACGCACGAAACCCGGGAAAGCTAGCAAGAGCGCCTCACTTATTCCTCGCGGCCACAGGCGCCACCACGCGGCCAGCCTCGGCCATGCAAGCGGCTCTAGCAGAGGCGCCGCAGGCCCGGCCTCCTCTTTGTGCGCAGGCGTCAGAGGGCCATCCCGGGCCCACCACCTGCGCAACGCGTCTGTGCGCAACCACCCGGAAGCCGGGCGCCCCTCAGAGCCCCGCCCTGCTTGGTCACGTGAGCGCTTGTGCGTCACCTGACGCACTTGACAGCCCGCAGCGGGCGCCGCGTCAGCTGATCTCGGGCCGGTTGGGGTTCTCCGGTCCCGCCGCCCCCGCAGCAGCCATGTCGTTCTTCCCGGAGCTTTATTTCAACGTGGACAATGGCTACTTGGAGGGACTAGTGCGCGGCCTGAAGGCCGGGGTGCTCAGCCAGGCGGACTACCTCAACCTGGTGCAGTGCGAGACGCTTGAGGGTGAGCCGCGGGGCCGGGCTGAGGGTCCTTGAAAGGCCATGATGGAGGCCGGCCTGGGCCTAAGGGTTCGGGGAGGGGGTGTCTGCGTGGGGAAGCTGGAAGCGGGCGGTCGTGTAGGGTCAGAGAGGCCTCTCCGGGAATCCGGGGGCTGATGGCGGGCGCGCGGGAAGTGATCTGTCAGCTGCGCTCCGGCGCGGGCTCAAATAGGGCTTTCAGAACCGCAGTGGTTCGACTCCGCTTGGGCCGCCTCTTCTCGCGTTGTGCTAGGCATGTAGTTTGGGAGGAGGAAGTCCCTCCGGAATGGTATGCCTGTAAGAGCCTCTTTAACCTGCCATAGCGAAGAGCTGACCCAGGGTAACGCTTAGGGAAGCTAAGCGCAAAAGCACTCCCCTTCCCCAGCACTTACACACTGAGGCCTTTGGGGTCATCGTGTTTTCGCAGTGGCCTGCGGGGTGAGCCCGCCTGGAGAATTGCTGAGCCAGCGACGACGTTGAACCGCTGACTGGGCAGTGTTTAGGAGAGCAAGGGGGTGGCTCTGCGAGTCTCTTAAGTCGTACCCAAGTATTTGGCCCAAGATCCCGACCCGGCGGTGGTGGAGGGTGCCTGTTGGGGCAGAGTGTCTTGCACAAGAGTGGTGAGAAGTTGAATTCCCCTTTCCCATGAGTACACAGCTCGGAAGCGGGTTGACTCCCCGAGGCCCAGCTGCAACCGATGTAGGAAGTTAGAGGATGTCCCCAATTCCAGACTTTGCCGCCGTCTTCTTAGGTGGTAGCAAAGGGCAGGCTGGCCGGGGTGTGAGTTTCCATCTCTGACCCCCAAGCGATACCTTGAGCAGAGGTGTTGGTGGAGCCTCATGGTTGATAGCTAGGGGAGAAATACGGCCCCACGATTCACCCACTGGAGAAAAGCGTCTCGCCAAAAACTTTTGAGGTTAAAAATGAGCTTAATTTGTTGTTGTCTCCCTTGCAAAGTAGACCAGCAAAGTGAAAAATGAATACCATTAAAATATAAAACTTAGGCCGGCGCCGCGGCTCACTAGGCTAATCCTCCGCCTTGCGGCGCCGGCACACCGGGTTCTAGTCCCGGTCGGGGCGCCGGATTCTGTCCCGGTTGCCCCTCTTCCAGGCCAGCTCTCTGCTGTGGCCCGGGAGTGCAGTGGAGGATGGCCCAAGTGCTTGGGCCCTGAACCCCATGGGAGACCAGGATAAGTACCTGGCTCCTGGCTTCAGATCAGCGTGGTGTGCCAGCTGCAGCATGCCGGCCGCAGTGGCTATTGGAGGGTGAACCAACGGTAAAGGAAGACCTTTCTGTCTCTCTCTCACTGTCCACTCTGCCTGTCAAAAATTTAAAAAAAAATAAAAATATATAAAACTTAGTAAAGTGAAAAAGCGATAATTGTAGATTATGACTTTAACATAAATCTGCAAGAAAAGTTACCGCCCTTGTGGGAGTGGCCTCTCTCTGTGAGAAAAGGAGCAGGGCTGGGCACACAGTTGCCACTTAACGTGTTTTGTGGGCTGACTGGGACTTGAGGCAGATCTTTATTTGCATGCATCTAAGGTGAACGCCAGTGGTTGTCAGCTGGCCTTCATTTGGCTTGTTTATCTTCTTGGCTTTTCCAGCTCCTGCTTCCACCTGCTCCCTTCAGAACTTCTCGGGGTCCAGGGCTTCTGTCTTCCCAGGGGACCTCCATCTTCTTCCAGAGACATGGGAGGCTGTCTTGCTACAACACTCCCCAGCCTCCTGGTGGGATAACACGCAGACTTTTGTCACAAGCCATCCCGCCAGCACTTGGTGCACGTGGTGTGGCAGACTTTGGAGTTAGACAGATATGGGTTTGAACTCCAACACTGGCAATCACTGGATTTTCTTTCTCTTTTTTAAAAAGATTTATTTATTTGAAAGAAAGAGTTATAAAAAGGCAGAGGCAGAGAAGTCTTCCATCTGCTGGTTCACTCCCCAAATGGCTGCAATGGCCAGAGCTGAGCTGATCCAGAGCCAGGAGCTGCCTCCAGGTCTCCCACTCGGGTGCAGAGGCCCAAGCACTTGGGCCATCTTCTACTGCTTTCCCAGGCCACAGCAGACAGCTGGATCAGAAGTGGAGCAGCTGGGTCTCGAACCAGTGCCCTGCAGGTGGTGGCTTTACTTGCTATACCACAGCACCGGCCCCCTGGATTTTCTTAGTCAAGTTATTTAACACCCTGGGACTTTAGGTTTTTCATCTGACATAACAGCGCTGATTTCATAAAGATTGTGAGACATCAACAAGCTACTGCCTGTGAAGTGTTTAACACTGCACCCAGGACAGCAAGCTCCCAGCAGACCTTAGCTCATGCTTCTGTTAGGACTGGCACTTGTTCCCTCTGCTTCCTACTTGCTTTCATGCAGCCCAGCCCTGTTGCCACTTCATCTTAGAAACTCCCTGTGATCGTGCTAGGCTAGAACAGTGTCCTTCGCACTCAGTCACAACTCCTGTAGTGTGTGTGCTTCTCTAGAAAGATTTTTTAAACTTATTTTCATTTTTAGGAGAGACAGATCTTTCATTTGCTGGTCTTCCAGCAAATTCCCAGATAATTACAATAACTGGGGTTGGGCCAGGCCAAAACCAGGAGCCCAGAACTCAGTCTGGGTTTTACATTTGGTGGCCGGGACTCGAGTATTTAAGCCAGCACACCCAGGTGTGCCTTAGCTGGAATCGGAAGCAGAGCTGGGACTTGAACCAGGCACTCCAATATGGGATGCAAGTTTCCCAAGCAGCATCTTGATTAAACGCCCTCCCTCCTACCCCAGGGTTTCTTGATGTGGAGTTTAGGGGCTCTTGTATGCTAGAGATGCTAAGAACTTTCAGGGTTTGGAGATAGCCAGAAACAGGAAGGAGTGACCAGAAGCCCCACTTGTCTTCTATGGAAAGTCCTCTGCTTTTTTTTTTTTTAAGATTTATTTTTATTTGAAAGACAGAATGGCAGAGAGAGGTAGAGACAGAGAGAGAGGTCTTCCTTCCATTGGTTCACTCTCCAATTGGCCACAACGGCTGGAGTTGTGCCGATCCAGAGCCAGGAGCCAGGGGCCAGGAGCTTCTTCCGGGTCTCCCATGTGGGTGCAGGGGCCCAAAGACTTGGGCCGTCTTCTACTGCTTTCCCAGGCCATAGCAGAAAGCCAGATCAGAAGAAGAGCAGCCGGGACTAGAACCAGCGCCCATATGGGATGCCGGCGCTTCAGGCCAGGGCTTTAACCCGCTGTGCCACAGCGCTGGCCCCAGTCCTCTGCTTCTGATGGTAACACCGTTTCCAGGCTGCTGCTGCTGGGTATTTTTGTCTCCTTTTTCTTCTGGGGCAACAGAGAGGGAAGTGGGGCAGGGAAACTAAGGAAGCCTGTGGTCTCCAGTGAGATATGTGGCTGTGTCCTGAAGTGATCCGCTTTTCAGGGGACTTGATTCAGGTATTGGGAATTTCCCAGAAGGCACAGGGCATTGGGCAGAGGGTGTTAATTTGCTCTGCAAGATAGGGCAAGTCTAATCTCTTCACCATCCCTGGCTTCCTCGCTGAGTTCCCCTGCCCTCTCTTGTGCTGAATTTAGGACCTCTGAGGCCCATGTGTTCTTGCTTGACTGTCTCTTAAGAAACAGGAGAAAGAACCTGGAGTGCCATTCCCCCTTAGATGCACTGAGGGGTCAGATCTGGGTGATTACAAAAAATTCTTTCCAGCTCTGAGTTTTCTGGGAGGTGTTGAGTGGCATCTGGGGGCTGGGTACTCTGCTAGGGACTCGTGGGGAAGAGGAGGTGGGCCAGAGATACATGAAGAGAAATCATGGAGTATTATGTTGAATGTTTTCACTCATTCACTGTCCTTGCTGAGCACTTTTTTTTTTTTTTTTGAGATTTGTTTATTTGGAAGGCAGAGTGACAGAGATAGAAAGAAATCTATCCTCCACAAATGGCCACATGGGTTGAGGCTGGGCTAGACCAAAGGCAAGAGCCTGAAATTTCATCATGATCTCCCATATAGATGCCAAGGGCCTATGTACATGGCCCTCTACTGCTGCATTCTCAGGCACATTAGCAGGGAGCTGAATCAGAAGTGGAGCAGCTGGGACTCTTACCAACAGTTCAATATGGTATGCCATATCAAAGGCAGCCTAACCTATTATACTGTAGTGCTGGCCCCTGAGCACCTATTTTATGCCAGGCATTACAATGCAATAGAGATTGAGATACTTTGTTGAATGGTGTTCTCTTGACCCTAGTGGTCTGGTGGTGGAGGTCAGTGGGGGCAGGAAGACATTAAGAGATCACTGTAGCATAGCTACTTCTTGACTCTGGCCATGAGCAAGATATATATCCTCTGGGTTCTGAGGTGTGGAATGGTGATAGTAATAGCACCTACCTCATGGGGTGGCTATGAAGGTTACCATGTGCAAGGTACATGGTAAATCTCAGTGTGTTAGCCACTATTACTATTGTTATTAAGTAAAAAATTAAATATAACTCATATATATATTTTTTTTTTTTTGACAGGCAGAGGGGACAGGGAGAGAGAGAGACAGAGAGAGAAAGGTCTTCCTTTGCCGTTGGATCACCCTCCAATGGCCGCCGCTGCAGCCGGCGCACCGCGCTGATCCGATGGCAGGAGCCAGGATCCAGGTGCTTTTCCTGGTCTCCCATGGGGTGCAGGGCCCAAGCACCTGGGCCATCCTCCACTGCACTCCCTGGCCATAGCAGAGAGCTGGCCTGGAAGAGGGGCAACCGGGACAGAATCCGGCGCCCCAACCGGGACTAGAACCCGGTGTGCCGGCGCCGCAAGGTGGAGGATTAGCCTATTGAGCCACGGCGCCGGCTAAATATAACTCATATATTAAGGAAAGGACAGTTCAGAAATGATGGAGAACCTTGTTTTAAGTGCATGGCTAAGTAAGGCCCTGCTGAGGAAGGAGGTTTTTCAGCTGAGATGTGAAGAATGAGAAGGAGCCAACTGTGCAGAGAGCTGGGCGGAAGAGAATTTCAG